TGCTCATCTCTGTTTCAAAGCCAAAGAGCCAGCGCTGTCCGAAGACTTCTCCGGGATCATGTGGACGGCATGACTAAACACCAAAGGCACACGGAACGCTGTTAGCTTCCCACCAAAGGTGGTTCCTATTTTTCTACTTGCATTTTTACATGCTTTCGAACTGCTAGGTTGGCAGAAGCTGGGACAAGTAATGGGAGCTCACTCCATTACGTGGCGCTAGGGATTCGAACTGCTGAACTGCCGACCTTTCTGATCAACAAGCTCAGCGTCTTAGCCACTGAGCCACCACGTCCTTTGATGATAAACTGCTTACTCGCCAGTAAATACAAACCCCTTTTCAAACAGGGTAGGAAGTCTTTTATTCACATGGATAAACAAAGAAAAGCAAATGTAATTAGTCCCAGCAGAACCTGGTTCTGGCCTAGAAATCCGAATTGCTTGCTGTCTCCTAAAAACAAACAGTTGTCTGCGACAACCAGCCACTCCCAAACTCCTACTATTTTTTCCCCAGCCAGGGAGAGGCTGGCTATCGTCCACATCTGCTTTCCTTTGCTCTCCTCTCTTTTCTTCTCTGCTCATACACACATCTGGGATGGGCCCCATCTGTTCCTCCCCCTCATTCAGCTCAGGCCCCCGAAGACAGCTGCCTCTCCACCTGGGGGAGGACAAAGACTACCTTTAATATACTATATTTAATCTGTTTTATGGGCATTATGCCTTAGCTGATTTTTGACTGTAACCAATAAAACTAAATTAAACTGATACAAGCCTCCCTGGACATATCCAAAGGTAGCATTCACATGCTTTAAATTAAAACGTACATAAATACATAAAGTTGCTCATCTGAAAAGCCTTCAAGAGCCATACGGCACTGCTACTCTTACCTTCCATTCAAAATCCAGATGTTTCATTGCCCGGTAAACTTCAGCCATGATATCGTAAGGCTTGCTTTGACTTCGTATTCCTAAATGCCACTTGGCTTTTTTCACAGTCGACGGTTTTGGCTTAGTGGTGTTCAATGCATCCAAAGAGCTTTTTGCTTTGGGACTATCCGCAACGAGAGGCGGCATCCTTTCTGGATGAGGTTTCACCCCTGGGGGGATATGCATAGAGTCATCCATAAAAGAGCCACTTGGTGGGCTGGAGGCGAGGTAGAACTCACTGGCCTGATTCATGATTCTCCGGTTGTCAATGATCAGGTGATACGCAACCGCAAGCTGGTCCTGAGGATCTCCACTGTACAAGCTGGCCATCACTTCTGACTCGGTGCATTCAAATTTCTCACAAACTTCCCTCACAGCATCATCATCCATGACATTGGCATCATACGATGGGTCTTCTGGGAACAAATAACTGGGCAGATCTTGCTTGAACCATTCGTGCTCTCTAGAAGAAAATAAAAATGGTACTCCAGTTAGAACAATGCCATTTGTTAACAGTGTATTGAAATCTCTTTCAAATTCCTAAGTGGTCTTTATCATGTTATACAACTTTTCAGGACAGTTGGGGGAAATTGGAAAGTCTTCTTGAGATTACTCAATTGTGGGGAGCAGCAGACATGCTATTCTTGTGGTATTTTTTTCTTATTATTATCACATTAATCATCCCACATCCCTGAACCATTCTGCAGTATTCCTCACTGCCCAAACTTTCTGATATGAAAAAGTTTCTGTCTAAGACAGGGGTGCCAAACTGGATTTCTTTGAGGGCCGGATCAGCATTGTAGTTCTCTGCAGCTGGCCGGAGGGGGGGGGGGAGAGGGGACTGACGCCTCCTGCTGGCACACACACACAGATACACAAACACACAAACACACACACACACACAGAGTTTTGGCCAGCAGGATACAGGCTGTCCAGGCCAAAAAGGGGTGCGGGAGGCCACATGTGGCTCCCCACGACCTTTTTGGCTGCCAGAGGGACCAAGGGCCGTTCCTTTGCTTCTTCCAGACCGGCCCCATGGGCCAGATTTAAGCACCCCGTTTGACACCTTTGGTCTAAGGTCTCCCACTGGAATTTAACTGGTATGAAAACCCAGAAATACTGCAGAATGCTGGAAATATGACTTTATATTAAAAGATATGACATTTAATCATCTTGTAACTACATTAATACAAGTTCTTCCATCTCCCTGAAGATGTTATTCTTTGCAAGAAGAAAATGAAAACTATTTCTTTTCCATCAAATTAAGACAGAATTGTAAAGCAAACCAGTCATGGAAGAGAAAATGTTAAATGGTGATAACAATTATGTATGCTTGCACACTTTCAGTTGTAATGACCAGATGGTTATGACTGATTTAGGACTGATTTAGGACTGATTTGTGTGTTCTTGATAAACCTCTAGATATGAAAAAATAATTGTAGAATATACTCAGCCAAGAAACTGTTGAATCCAAGGAAAGGGGGAACTTTAATTTGACAGACCTAGAGTCTCCTATGAAAGAGATCCTGTGTATCCCCCAACAGAACATACATGCACAATCAATAGTTCAAACCACATATTGCATGAAAATTTCAGAGTTTTGGAATGTGGCACACCTGGAGATATTGAAATAAGGCTGAAACAAAGGACAGAAATCCAGTCCATGGAGTGGTATAATAGTTGTAGAGTATCATGATATAATTAAGGCTCTTATACATATTTTTATAGCTAAACAGTTTTGCAATTTATTAAAATGTACCTTTATTACATGCTACTTTATTTACATTCTATTTTATTACTCAAGATTATTTTAAATCTCATCTCAGGTTTTCTAATAACTGTCTGTGGAGACTCCAAATTCAATTTATTTTAATTTAATTAACAATTTTCAGCCTACATTTAATCAGATTGGGAAATGATTGTCCAATCTCTTTCTAATCATCAAATTACCCAATAAACACTTTTGTCTGGCATTCTTCTTCTTTCTTACTTTAGAAAAATGTTAACCAGCAGCATGTTAGAATTTTGGCCCAGGCTTACCGTATGTCTTTGATGGTGGCTCGTTTGAGTGGATCAACCTGTAGCATATGCATCAGCAGGGTTGCTATTGAATGGTTGAGGTATTCAGGAATGTAGAAGACGCCTCCCCGGATTTTTTTAAACAGGGTTGGGACATGCTCATCATCAAAAGGAAGAGTCCCACAGAGGAGAGCATACAGAATAACACCACAGCTCCAGATATCAACTTCTGGGCCAGCGTACAATCTGAAGAAAAGAAAAAATGTCATTAATCTATGTCTTAATGTAATATTAAATAGTTGGGAGAAGAGGAAAACAGTGCTAAATAATTGCCTTCATTCAAAATGAAGATCAGAAATTATACAACCCTCCTCCTCCTTCTCTTTATCATTTTGTCCTGATTCCTCTCCTTTTTGATCTCTCTTCAAACCTTCTCCAAGTATTCCTAATATATTCTTTGACACTCCAGGTTGTTGATACTTAGCAACGTGGCACAGAAGAATCTGTTTTATCAGCTAAATTGAAATAAAATGTTTCTACCTATTGGTCAACACATGGTATCTGTCACCCTCTTTTTTAGGCTGCTGTTTCTTTTTAAAAATAAAATCATGTAGCTCTCATTACCTAATTAAATTAATAACATAAATCATTTCACTTCATTCCCCAAGCATTTCAATATGCAATCATTTCTTTCATCTTCTACCTTCCAGAGATTACTTCTGGTGCTGCATAGTTGGGTGAGCCACAGCTGGTTCTCAGAAATTCACCATCTGACATCATATTGGATAGCCCTAAAAAAGAAAACTGTTTAGGTATTCACCTATATAAATGAACCAAAAAGGTAGAAGAACTCAAACTGAGAAATTACAGTTGGAATGCAATAGAATGGAATGGAATAGAATAACCAACTATAGAATAATAAGAAATGAATCCTAGAGGTGTGCAACTTTTTTTCTTTTTTTTTCCTTTTTATAAATTTTTATTTTAAACACATAAACACATCAACAAAAACAAACACATGATATAAGACAACATAGGAACAAGAAATTCCATCATATATCATACAGCAGTTCCGTATCAGTTTCTTTGCAGTTAATGTTTTCCCTTCTATACCTTTCTATCTTACATTCATTGTCACCTTATTCATTATCCATTTTTATGTAAAATTTTATATTTATTTATACTTAGCTATTTATAACCAGATATTATTTACCTATATTTTGCTATATATTCTTACTATCATTTATTCTCTTACATACAATTCTAGGTATACATTC